ACTTGTAATTCAAACTACTCAAGATGCTAAGGCCAGAAGGATCATGTCAACCCAGGATTTTGAGGTTGCTGTGAGCTATGTCACCATGGCACTTTACACAGGGCAACAGAGTGAGACTCTGTCTCAAAAAAAAACACAAAAATCCTTCCAAGATATGTTTAATCTTAAGAAATTTCCAAATTCTAATGTGTTTCTTTATGTATCATTTACAATATGTTAAGACCCATGGTCATTAATATTGTTCCTAGTCTAACTAATTTAATACTTACAACTTGGGTTAGGATCTAACAAGGTTTTTCTTTTACAAAGGCAAACAGTATTAAGTGTCCCACTGAATCATCTGCTGTATGCACACTGCATCCTTCTTATCACAACTAAGTGATCAGAATGTTTCATTTATGCCCAATAAAAGCTCTCAAACTCTCCAGATAAAAACAATGTTTTTACCACATTAAAAAAAGTTCAAATTTGGCTTGGCGCCTGTAGCTCAGCCACTAGAGCGCCAGCCACATACAATGGAGCTGGTGGGTTCAAATCCAGCCCAGGCCTGCCAAACAAGTGACCAACTACAACCAAAAAATAGCAGGGCACTGTGGCAGGGACCTGTAGTCCCAGCTACTTAGGAGACTTAGGCAAGAGAATCACTTAAGCCAGTAGTTTTGAACCTTGCTAATGTTGCGGCCCTTTGATACAGTTCCTCATGTTGTTGTGACCCCTAACCATAAAATTATTTTCGTTGCTACTTCATAACTATAATTTTGCTACTGTACGAATCATAATGTAAATATCTGATATGCAGGATGTATTTTCATTGTTACAAAGGGGTCGTGACCCACAGGTTGAGAACCACTGGCTTAGGCCCAAGAGTTGCTATGAGCTGTAACACCATGGCACTCTCTACTGAAGGCAACGTAGTAAAACTCTGTCTCAAAAAAAAAAAAAAAGGTCAAATTTTTCATCAGAATCTAAAAAGCACCGGAACTGGAGATAATTAGAAAATTAGAGAAGTAGAATTATATTCTAAATTCAGAGAGTCAATTGTGTAGCCTGGGAACAGGTATCTTCTTTGCAGATGAAGAATCAGTGCCATTTTTTGCGTGACCATTTTCCATACCTCACATGAGACCACAAACTCCTGTTCAACAGAAGTATCTACTGTTAATAATTATAGAGCATCTATAAGTATCTACTGTTAATAATTATAGAGCACCAAGTGCTCTTTTGTTTTTCCATGTGTTGAAACAACTCCTGACTTATAAAAACTCCCCAGGTTTACCTAAACAAACTGTCTCCTTAAAGTCAACCAACTCAGTTATGTTAATTATATAAAGCAGTTGTTCTCAATCTTCCTAATGCAGCAAACCTTTAATCCAGTCCAAAGGGGTCACGACCCACAGGTTGAGAGCTTCTGATATAAAGGAAAAGGAATCATAACTAAAGATAATTAGCTCAAGTAGGATTCTCCAACTGAGAAGAAAAAAATTGAAGGAACAAATTAACACAATTTAACTTAATGCACTCACTGTGGAATTACTCATTTTCAAATTATTTTTGTGAGTACCATTGAATTTCATAAATTATTCTTAGCTGGCTGCAGTATCTCAGTGGTTAGTACTCCGGTCCTGCACACCAAGGGCAGTGAGTTCAAGCCTTGCCTGGGCCAGATTAAAAAAAGAAATTATTCTTGTAGCCCAAGAGTTTGAGGTTCCTATGACCTAGCTTGATGTCACAGCACTCAACCCAGGGCAACAGAGTAAGACTCTGTCTTAAAAAAATAAAAAATTATATGGCTTGGTGCTTGTAGCTCAGCAGCTAAGGCACCAGCCACATACACCAAGGCTGGTGGGTTTGAATCCAGCCCAGGCCTGCCAAACAACAACAACTACAACCAAAAAATGCTGTGTGTCGTGGTAGGCACCCGTAGTCCCAAGTGCTTGGGAGGCCGAGGCAAGAGAATTCCTTAAGCCCAAGAGTTTGAGGTTGCTGTGAGCTGTGATGCCATAGCACTCTACCCAGGGCGACAGCTTGAGACACTGTCTCAAAAAAAAAAAAATTATACTTACAATATCTGAGATCATATAAAGAATACCTCACAAATTTTAGGTGAAGAAAATGATGTATTAGGTCTAGCATAAGAGACAATTAAAACCTGAGAATTTCATGGGAATATTCTGAACCAGAAGGCTTAAGATTTTAAAGAAATAAATGCAATACAAAGCAGAGAAAATCTGCTAGTAAATTATCAACACTTTTTGAATTATGTTTTGTTCTAATGTATTTGTTTTATTTATTTTATTTATTTTTTTGAGACAGGGTCTCACTATGTCACCCTCACTAGAGTGCCATTGCATCACAGCTCACAGCAACCTCAAACTCTTGGGCTTAAAAGTGATTCTCTTTCCTCAGCCTCCCAAGTGGCTGGGACTACAGGCGCCCGCCACAATGCCTGGCTATTTTTTTTATTGCAGTTTATCATTGTTGTTTAGCTGACCGGGGCTGGGTTTAAACTCGCCACCTTCGGTGTATGTGGCCGGTGCCGTAACCACTGTGTTATGGGCACTGAGCCCAAGTAACGTTTATTTTTATAGTGATATACTTATGTATTTGACTCTACATAAATAAAAAGCAAAACAATGTATATATTTTCCACCACAGAGAGGTCCCATGGTCAAAGAAAAATGTAGGATAAAATTTTGTAAAATATCATTCAGGATTCAGAAATGTATGCCTATTGATAACCTTTTAGCTACATAAGGAATAGAAATGTAATCTATGAAATTGATGATCTTTTAGCTATATGAAGAATAAAAGTGTACCCTATAAAAGTGATATTCTTGGGCAATGTCTGTAGCTCAGTGAGTAGAGCGCCGGCCCCATATACCAAGGGTGAAGGGTTCAAGCCCTGCTCCGGCCAAACTGCAACAATGAAAGAGCTAGGTGTTGTGGAAGGCGCCTGTAGTCCCAGCTACTTGGGAGGCTGAGGCAAGAGAATCGCCTAAGCCAAAGAGCTGGAGGTTGCTGTGAGCTGTTTGCTATGGCACTCTACCAAGTGCGAAAAGTGAGACTTTGTCTCTAAAAAAAAAAAAGAAAGTGATATTCTTCAAATTATTATTACCTATTCTAATAAATGTCACTAAAGTTATTACCACATTATGTTACCCAATAGTATTTGATTATCATTGGTTACCTACAACATTGAATAAGGTGTACAGGTTAATTAAGGTGGATGGCAGGAAAATACTTTATTCAATACACCATACTCTTAAAACATCAAACACAATTTTGTTTTATTAAAACAAATTAAGTTCATACACCTTAAAAATAATTTCAAAGTCACCTTATTATGCAATTTTCTTCTAAAATTCAAAATATGTCTAACTACAATGTAGAATTCTCTCAATACCTACCTCTGACATCACTTGCACCTTTCTAAGTTAATCACAAAGATCCTTTCCACTTAGATTATTTTTCATACATCTTACATTTCAGTGTCCTTAGTGTTCCTTGGAAGAGTATGTGAACGATGCCAGTCTAATTTAGAAGGATATTAGTTTTGATGCAGGAAGAATTGTCCACATGCTTTAACAGAAACACTCCAAACAAAGGCACACGCAAATAATTTGAGAGTTGAATTATACCAATATCTAATTTTCAAAACAAAGTTCAAAAATTTTGAATGCAAAGATTGTATTATGAATGTAGTCCTAACTCTCCACAAAATCAATCCCGTTTCCCCCAAACATAAACACGCATAAGATATAACTAATTCAACTTTGGATGATTCTCTGCAATCAACACTCTTCTTCAGTGATGTCTGAGGTTATTAGTACCTTAGTTCTTTTGACTATGGACTGTGATGTTTAGCGTTGATACACTAACAAATATTTATTTACATTATGGCATCTGTAAAACATCTCTGATGTTTTCAAAGGTGTAATTTTTGTAAAAAAGGTTTTCCTGTATTTGTACAGTTTGTTTCCAATCCAAATTCTGTGAATCAAAATAAACTTGAGAAATTGATGATTTCCCTACAGTATAAATTAGTCTGTGTACAATAAGATCTGTAATATAAGAAAAGTACTACACCACTCTATGGTTTTAACTTTTTTTTCAGTGTAAATACTCTTAGTATTTTCTGAAAGGCATCCTAACAGTTGTTAAATTTATACTTTTACCCAGTATGATTCTCATACCAAGTACTATGTGAACAGTCACCAGCGCCTTTCCCACTTTCTTTACATTTGTAGGATTTTGCTCACATACAAATTATCTTATGTTTAGTAAAGTATGAACACTTAATAAAGGCTCTGCCACATTGTTCAAATTTTTATTTATTTATTTTTTGAGACAGAGTCTCAAGCTCTCACCCTGGGTAGAATGCCGTGGCATCACAGCTCACAGCAACCTCCGACTCTTGGGCTTAGGTGATTCTCTTACCTCAGCCTCCCAAGTAGCTGGGACTACAGGCCACCATAACATTTGGCCATTTTTTTGGTTGTAGTTGTCGTTGTTTGGCAGGCCCAGGCTAGATTTGAACCTGTCAGCTCTGGTGTATGTGGCTGGTACCCTAGCCGCTTGAGCTACAGGTGCCGAGCCTGTTCAAATTTTTTGAGTGTTTCTTCCATATGAATTTTCTTATATACAGAAAGTTGTAAGTACTTGTTAAAGGTTCTGCTACATTCTTCAAATTTGTAAATTTTTCTTTTTTTTTGAGACAGTGTCTCACTTTGTCACCCTCATTAGAGTGTGGTGTCATAGGTCACAACAACCTCGAACTTAGCTATTCTCTGGCCTCAGCCTCCAGAGTAGCTGGGACTACAGTCACCAGCCACAATGCCTGGCTATTTTTAGAGAAAAGGTCTCACTCTTGCTCAGGCTGGTCTCCAACTTCTCAGCTCAAGCAATCCACCTGCTTCAGCCTCCCAGAGTACTAGGATTACAGGCGTGAGCCACTGTGCTTGGGTTTGTTTTTGGTTTGATTTGTAAAACTTTTTGTTCTTGAATTCTCTGTATAGATAGGTGTGAGCACTAGTTAAAAGCTTTGCCACTTCTTTACATTCGTTGGGTTTCTCTCCAACATAAATTATCTTACTCAAAGTAAGGTATGAGCACTGATTAAAGGCTCTGTCATATTATCATTCATTTGTTCTTCTCTGTACAGAAATGATTTGAGTGCTGGATAAGGCTTTGCTACATTCTTAGGATTTTTCTCTGGTATGAATTCTCTTATGTATAGCAAGGTCTGAACACCAGTTAAAGGCTTTGCCACATTTATCACATTTGTAAGGTTTCTCTCCAGTATGGATTCTCCTGTGTGCAGCCAGGTATGAACACTGGTTGAAGGCTTTGCCACATTCTTCACATTTATAAGGTTTATCTCCTTTATGAATTATCTTATGTGCAGTAAGATATGAGCACTGGTTAAAAGCTGAGCCACATTCTTCACATCTGTATGGTTTCTCTCCAGTATGAATTCTCCTGTGTTTAGTAAGGTACGAGCATGTATTAAAGGCTTTGCCACATTCTTCACATTTGTAGGGTTTCTCTCCTGTATGAATTCTCTTATGTACAGAAAGGTCTGAGTACCAGTGAAAGGCTTTGCCACATTCTTCACACATGTAGGGTTTCTCTCCAGTATGAATTCTCTTGTGTTTGGTAAGGTATGAGAACTGATTAAAGGCTTTGCCACATTCTTCACATTTGTAGGGTTTCTCTCCTGTATGAATTCTTTTATGAACAGAAAGGTCTGAATACCAGTAAAAGGCTTTACTACACTCTTCACATTTGTAGGGTTTTTCTCTAATATGAATTTTCTTATGTTTAGCAAGGTATGAGTACTGATTAAAGGCTTTGCCACATTCTTCACATTCATAGGATTTTTCTCTGGTATGAATTCTTCTATGAATAGTAAGGTGTGAGCACCGGTTAAAAGCTTTGCCACATTCTTCACATTTGTAGGGTTTCTCTCCAGAATGAATTCTTTCGTGTTTAGTAAGGTATGAGCACTGATTAAAGGCTTTGCCACATTTTTCACATATGTAAGGTTTCTCTCCAGTATGAATTCTCTTGTGTTTAGTAAGGTATGAGCACTGATTGAAGACTTTGCCACATTCTTCACATTTGTAGAGTTTCTCTCCAGTATTAATTCTCCTACGCTTAGAAAGGTTTGAGCTGTGGTTCATACCTTTGCTACACTTTTCACACTTACAGAGTTTCTCTCCAGTGTGAATTATTTCATGGTTAGAAAGGCTTAATAAAGACTTAAAGACTTTGCCACATTTCTTACATTTGTAAGATTTCTTTCCATTATAGATTCTCTTATGGTCCATAATGTGTGAGCATTGCTTAAAGCCTTTCCCACATTCTTTACATTTAAATGGTTTCTCTACAATATGTCTCATCTTATGTTTATTTAGATTTGATAATTTTCTGAAGACTTTCAAACATTTATTACACTGGAAGATTTTGCTGTGGGTAGTTTTTGTAGACTGGTTAAGTCCATTATAACATTCTTTCTGCTCTGTACACTCACCCACACTTTCCCAGTCTTCTGTTAAGTTTAAATTCTCAAGGGCACAGCTTCCATATCTTGTTAGTATGACTTTTTCAAATAAAACATTTATGCGCTGCTCTGGCAAACAGCCTTCGGCAGAATGAGAAGACATAGCTGAAAGAAATTTAAAACATAATTATCCCACTTATTTTTTAAACTCAGAGGAATATACATTATAAATTCAATGTAAAAAATTATTCTAAGCATATCACCAATGTGGCAAAATATAATATAGAGCCTGTAATTCTCTTTCAATAAATCAATGAGATAAAACTATACTGACCAATAGTGGGAATTCTAAAAACTAGTAAGAGTTTTAGCATAGTAACTGAGCACAATGCCAAGAAGAGGAAGAGAAAGGAGTTTGTTATATTTACCCATCACTGTCTTTACTCCTTCTTAACATAGGCAGTCCCTGGGTTATAAACAAGATAGGTGCTATAGGTTTGTTCTTAAGTTGAATTTATATGTAAGTTGGAGCAGGTACATTTAACTATTGCTGGTAGTAGCCTCCATTCATAAGTGTGAGCCATACATCAGTCAAATAACTTAGGGTAATAGTCGCTATTCATAAATGCTAGTTGTACAAAAGTCAGATGTTTATAACTTGGGGACTGCCTCTACATAGAAGCAAACTCTCAACTCCTAGCTGTTTCCCTCAAAACAGAAAGAAAATAGTGACACGTGCATCGATCCTTCTGGCTTTTGGGCACCTTTCCAAAGACTTATTTATGTCTCCTACATAAGTGTGAAAGGAATGGTGCTACAGTTTGAAAGAGACTGGGTGTACTAAAACCAAAGGTAAATTACTGTTACAGCAGCAGAAAGATTTTAGTACCACAGACAGAACGGGTATAGCAAATGATGACAGGCTCTTGAGAGGAAATGTGGAAAATAAACACACACTGCTACAGAAGACATATCCTAAGGACAGATCTGAGACTCCTTGAATCTCTAATATAGCAGATGGTTGTCTGACTCCCCTAGGAAAAAGACACTTCATAAAGCTTGTGAAAGGTGACTTTTTTTAAATTCTCAAATTTCAACCAAAGATTACGACATATACAAAATACCCTGCTGACACAACCCAATCTAAGAAACGAAGTCAATGATCAGGAATAACCGTAAAGAAATGGAGCTGTACTACAATAAACTTGCAACATTGAAAACATGCATCTGAATGGTACTCACTGAGTGAAATGGAAAAACTAAGTAAAATTAGAAATATGAGAATATCAACAAAAAAAGCATAAAGAAGAAACAGAAATTTACACACGAAGAATATAAGAAATGACCGAAAAGTTCTCAAATGTAAAAATAAAGACATACAAAAAAAAATCAAGAAGTGCTACGAATTTCAGACAGAATAAACAGAGACTCATAACAAGACAAATTATAAGCAAAGTGCAGGAAGAGAATCTTGAAAGTAGCAAGAGAAATGTGATGTATCATCTCTAAGCATGCCCCTATGAGATTACTAGTGGATTTATTAAAAAACACCTTGCATGTCAAAAAAGTTAGGCGATATAGTCAAAGTTCCAAAAGAACAAACACTTCAAAGCAGAAATACTACACACAGAAAAAAAACTGCCTTTCTAAATTAAGAAAAATGAAAACTTATCAAGATAACTATATTCTGAAAAAGTTTATTATCACCAGACATTTCATGCAAATGTTAATCAAATGACAGCAGAGAAGGTCATAATATATTTTCAGACAAAATCTGTTTTATTTTCTATAATGTACTTTAAGTCAAAACTGTGAAAAAGCACCAAAAAAAGTATTAGGTCATGTGTAGTTATTCATGCCTATAATCTCAGCAGTTTGGTAAGTTGTGGGTGGATCACCTGAGGTCAAGTGTTTAAGATCATCCTAGGCAAAAGTAAGGCCAACTCTCAACAAAAAACAGAAAAATTAACTTTGGATGGTGGTGCATGTCTACAGTCCCAGATACTCAGGAGGCTGAGGGAGGAGGAACAATTAGGCTGTAATGATACCATCGCACTTTAGCCACGAAACAGAGCAAGACTATCTCCAAAAAAAAAAGGATATTAATAAAAAAAAAAGAGTTCATTCACTGGAAACCTATGATTTATTTTTATATTTTATATACATATAGCATATAATATATAAAAATACATATGTACGTGCATGTGTGTTTATTTGTGTGTGTGTAAAATAGGACTTGCCCAAATTTAAAGGAAACATTGACAGAATTAAAGCAAAAATGTACAATAATGGTAGGATATTTTACTACCCCATTTTCAGCAATGAATAATAATGTAAGATACAACATTAAGAAGGGATGAGACAACTTGAATGTATTATAAAACAATTATACTTAACAGACATGAGCTCAAGCAATTCCCCTGCCTCCGCCTCCCAAGTAGCTGGGAATACAGTTGCCTGCCACACCTGGCTATTTTTTTGGTTACAGGTGTCATTGTTTGGCGGGCCTGGGCTGGATTCGATCCTGTCAGCTCAGGTGTATGTGGCTGGTGCCTTAGCTGCTTGAGCCACAGGTACCGAGCCCACAAAACAATTCTTTACAGATTTTTACAAATTAAAATCTTACAGACTATTAGTTATTGTCCAAATGAAATGGAAAGAGAAAGTAATAATATAAGGAAAACCAGAAAATCCACAAATAAATGGAAATTAAATGACTCAAGAAGTATGCTCTTTCTTGTTCAAGGGTTGGAAGATTTTAATTTTGTGAAGATGTATATACTGCTGAAAATGATCTATAAATTTAATGCAATCTCTTTAAAATTCTCAGTGTCATATTTTGCAGAAAAAGAAATTCAAAAATTATATGGAACCTCTAACTATCATGAAGAGCCCCCCCAAAAAGGAAAAGAAAGAATACTGGAGATACTATACTTTCTGATTTCAAGACATAGTTGAAAATAAAGTAAAGGGGCTGGACAAGGTGGCTCATGCCTGTAATACCAGCACTCTGGGAGACAGAGGTGGGTGGATCGCCTGAGCTCACAGGTTCAAGACTAGCCTGAGTTAGACAGAGATCCCCCATCTCTAAAAATAGCCAGGCATTGTGGCGGATGCCTGTAGTCCCAGCTACTTGGGAGGCTGAGTCAAGAGAATTGCTGGAGTCCAAGAGTCTGATGTTCTTGTGAGCTATGATGCCACAGCACTCTACTGAGGGTTACACAGTAAGACTGTCTCAAAACAACAACAAAAGCAAAAAGTAAAACAGTTTGCTAGTGGCATAAAAGCAGATAACTAGACCAGTGAAATAAAATGCAGGATATAAAACTTTTACATATATGATCAAATGAAGAGTTACCTGCACATTAACATTTATTGTAGCATTATTCACAAAAGCTAATATCTGAAAGCAATGCAAACCTGCCTCACAAAATGAATGGATAAATACAATTTGGGATATAAAAAACTGGTGTAATACTTAGGTTTTTAAAAGCTGAAAATCTAATATCTTCAACATAGATAAATCTTGACTTTATGCTTTATAGCATAAAGCTTTATAAATCCACTTATAGGCTTGGCGCCTATAGCTCAACTGGCTAAGGCACCAGCCACGTACACCTAAGGTGGCGGGTTCGAATCCCCAGCCCGGACCCACCAAACAACAATGATGGCTGCAACCAGAAAAAAAAATAGCTGGGCGTTGTGGCGGGCACCTGTGGTCCCAGCTACTTGGGAGGC